TGGTCAGCTGCAGATCTTGATTGCTGTGTTTAGGCACAAGGTCCAGTCTCGGAGTCTGCTTGAAACATGTTGAACAAAGAAAGATGTTGACACACATTGAATCATGTAATTAATTGAGATCTTGGTTTCATATACCTCTTCCGGTTTGGACTCCCAAGAAACCAAGCTATAGATTGATATGTTGTTGGTTCTTTTTGATCCCAAACTTAGCGTGACTCACTTACTCCATGAAAACTCTGCCCCCTTAGGAACCGGTGATGCCTGACTCCTTCGGTCTGGAGAAAGTATGTAAGACCAAAGCTGACCTGGTGAAGAACCTTTTCTGGGAAATGGTGAAGCCTTGTTAACTATGTCAAGAGCAATCTAAGTCAAGTCAAGTAGTTTTGAGATTGAATCGTTCCGGAAACCATTGCAAGATGGCAAGATCCATCAAAGCTATTCAAGTTTAACCCTCCCCACAAGGCACAAGGGCTGGTTGAAATCTGGATGCTGATTCTACCGTAGCTGCAGGTCGCTGCTCTCTTAGGACCTTTTGGGTTCAGGATCGCCGTTCCCAATGAGGCTGCCACCCCCGGCGCCGCCCTCGGACCCGCCGGCAGCCAGCAGCGCGACCAGCGCGACCGGCGCGCCGGCAGCGCCGGTGCCACCCTTGGGGCAGGACCAAAAGGCGCGGCACTCCGCCTTCGTGGCGGAAACCGGTGTTCTGAGGGACGGGCTGGGTGAAGATGGCTGAACAGCATTGGTGAGCATTCCTATGAAGAGTCTTGTGGGTTAGTAGGGGTATACGGTACGAGGCTGTTTGAAGACTGTGTTATATGTTTAAATCCTTCAAAAAAGTGCGTTCCCCTTAAAAGAGCCATGACTTCTTAATCGTTGCCAAGTCGTTGATCTTCCAATGTCGTAGATCCAACCGGGCGATCCGTCGGATGTCGAGGATCATCCACTCATGGGCGGTCGGTGACGTTCGGTGTAGATGCTGCCAGCGAAGGGTTGTGGGAAGGGGAAACGTTCGCGCTCGAAAGAGCACCAAGCAGCATCTTTTTTACTGTTCCAGATTGTGTTTTTGTTGTTTGTTTTGAAGCAGAATGGGTCCCGCCGATCAGCACCCAGATCACCAGGCTCAACTCATGCAGAAGCTCATGCAACTGACGCCCGAGCAGATCAGCCGGCTGTGCGACCGCTTAGCCAGCGTGCGACCGTCGTACCAGTGTCGTACCAGCGTTCTCGTGTCGGAGGTTTGTCCAGTCATGGTTGGACCAACAGAACAACGTGCCTTCGACGGTTTTTGATTTGAGACGCCCTTGGAATCCCACGATTTCAAAGCACTTCCTTGAGATGCTGGTTATGGCATCCACTTGGTCTTGAAAGAGTTTACACAGGAGGTTTGGCCAACATTGCTAGCTTTGACAGCTGTTCGGCTATACAAGCATTGTTCATATACTGCGTACACACACATCCCAATCAACTGGAGGTTTTTTGCGAGTACATCAACATCTATCTGATCTCGATTCCAGAATATCAGACACCCAGCACATCCTTGTGAGGATTTGTAGAGCACGTGATTGCAACTTTAAGCGCCCAGACACACGGACACTGGGTCTAGCATTGAAATCTTTGGAGATACAAGGATTCGGGTGTCGACTGGGGATGTGGACATGGAAATTCAGCGGATAGACAGATAGAGGAAGGACTTTCGAGTGTCGATTTTACTGGATAGAAATCCCAACCATCAGGTGATGAGTAGCTCCGGGCTAATGCACATGATGCTTCATTATCCTTTGTCCCAGGTGTCACGTAGTTAGACCTGAGCAATCTATGATAAGAGATGCGAACACTGTCCTCAGACAACGGATTTGCGTTGCACCCCAGGGTGGCCGTGCACCACTAAATACTTGTAGGACCCCTGGTATTTACTGGTCGCCCTGAATGGGCAACGCGATGGCGAGGCTTCTCTGTAGAAGCCGTAGGGCTTGTCTATACGTGTGAAGGGTTAACTTATATCCTGCTACAAGTGTTGCAAGGGATTGTTGAATTTGGAATTACTTTTCTCGTCCAAACTGTGCTGGAGATACTACAGATAGCAGAATCCTGCGCCCGAATCCTTTTTTGCCGCTCTCATGTGACACTGGACTTAGTGTCCCTGGAGTCTCATCTGAAGGATTCCTACAGAGTTGTGGCTCTTTGCATCCAGAACCGAGCTTCGTTTGCTCCTTCATCCACGTTGTGCGTAGGCCGTTAGCGTCAGCCGCCGCCTGCCGTTGGCTCCTGAGGCCGCAGAATACGAAGATGCAACTCTTGAGCTTCCTGGAGCAGAACAAGCGCTGAGATCGCCAGCTTCAGTCGATCTTCCTGCGCACACCTCCGGATCTTGAGATTGATGTCACAAGGGTCGGATTTTCATCCACTTCTTGGAGTGCTGTAGCTTCTGTGAGTTCAGTGTTCATGAGTTGAGAAATCAACGTAGTTTGTTGAGAATGAACGTTGTTTGAATTAATTTGTCTTGCAGATTTACAGTTTTACAATGTTCATGTCTTTATTGTCATAAATATAGCCCACTGCATGGTATAGGAGGCACTTGCGGCACTTCCTTTTGGTTGAGGGCAATCTTAGATACACTCCCCTCTACTGCCCTAAATCCACACTTGTTTCGTGTATCAGCAACCCCCCAGCTCCACCACACCATCACCTCCACCACGCCACTACCTCCACCAACAGTCTGTGTAAAGCCAGTGTGTCTAGGCAGTCGATTGGTCCACACTCAGCATGAGCGAGTCGGGGTCCAGTGGCGCTGAGCGGGAAAAAGCTGCGCGGTGCACGGGCAGCGTGGGCGAAGGCATCGATGCATCCAAGAGTGTTTGAGCAAACTGGGCTTGATTGGAAGCATCATCATCGACGTGCACAATGAAGAAGCTGAATCGAGGCACTATAGAGTTAGATATACATTTTGGGTCCAGAAGTGGTACAGAAGCCACGAATCTAGAGCGATATGGAGGACGAGAAGCGATGTCCACTGCGATCCTTAGTGGGCTGCGGTATATTCTTGGTGGGCTGAACCACTTTTCCAGTTCGGCCTGTCCCCAATTGCTTTCGCCATGCCCATCACCAACTTTCTTCAAGAGAAGTTCTCAGTGGCGAAAGTCGCAATTGGGCACACACCGTGGTTTTTTGGGAGATACTGGACGATTCAGGCATCCCACTCAAGCCAACCACCCACAGAGCCTCCCATGCTCTTGTTTGAGGAAATGTGGGCGATGTCGCTGGTCAGACAGCTCATTGCCTTATCCTTGCTCTTGCCTTCTTTCTTCGCAGCCAACCAACCACTGCAGTATGCCTCAGTGGGGGCAAGCCGCAAGAATAGAACAAGTGATTCCTGATGTTTATGCCTGAACCTCTATCATTGATTTCATGCATCAAAGGGGCAGCATGCAATCTCGATTGCACTGGATTTGCCCTTTTGGCTTGGCTTTTGCCTTGGCATGTTGTTTTGCACATCCCTTAGCCTTAGCCTTGGCTTTGGGGACAGCCTTCTTATTGGGAGTCTTCTTGGGTGCTCGTGCGGCTTTGGCTCTGGGTTTTGCTTTGGCTTTGGGTTTTGCTTTTACTTGGGTGCTCGTGCGGCTTCGGCTTAGCTTTGGCTTTGCCGTCTGCAGCCGAGGCCGGCAGAGGCATCACCCACCACGCTCCAGGCGGAGCATCAGAGCTTGGCCGAAGTTCGCGGGGAAGGAGTTGCAGCTCCAGTGAGGTCTATTTTGTTTTTTCCAGAGTGAGTGTGAGTGAGAGTGAGAGTGAGAGTGGGAGAGTGAGTGAGAGTGAGAGTGGGAGAGTGGGAGAGTGAGTGAGAGTGAGAGTGGGAGAGTGAGAGTGAGAGTGAGAGTGGGAGAGTGAGTGAGAGTGAGAGTGGGAGAGTGGGAGAGTGGGAGAGTGGGAGAGTGAGAGTGAGAGTGAGAGTGAGAGTGGGAGAGTGAGTGAGAGTGAGAGTGGGAGAGTGGGAGAGTGAGAGTGAGAGTGATAGTCAGTGAGTTTCAAAACACGGGCAGCAACTGTGGGAGTAATTTTGGCTCTTTTCAGGTAGCCAAATGCCTCGTCATCCAATGAGCCACGCGCATTAATGGATTAGGGAAATTCCCATAGTCCCAGATGCGACAATACCCCTTCAACAAGGACCCTGGTGTTTCCGGCCAACAAGTAAGACACAGGAGTTTGCGCTGCCAGGTTTTTGTGGTTTCATGATTGGGGAATGTTTCTTGAAGAGACCCGGAAGACTGTCAAATCAAACTCGGATTGACCACCCCAGTACTTTGGCACTATTCCGCGTGGGCACGACATAGTTTGTTTGGCGCGGCTGCGGGGCTGTAATACAACGTTTATCTTTGAATCACAGCTCTGTAAGGCAGGAGGAATGGGTTCCTCAATTCCAAGGTGACGTGTGCCATTAGTTTTGATTTTTACTGACACCTGCGTAGGAGTCTTGAAACCCCTCATTTCAAAATCATTCCAGCGCTATGCTTTTCTATAGACGGGTCGCGCGGGGGCACAGTCCACTTGCTCAAATGGGTGGCCCCTCAAGTGGTCTCTTGCCCCATGTATACAATGGAGGCGGTGAGACCTCAACCTCGTTATAACTTGTCGTAATGTATACTGCAGGTCTTAATGCGGCAAATCGTGCCACAAGGATGTTATAAACTGACCTGGAAGGGAATCAATCGCCCCATAAACAGGTGAAACGGCCCGGCAGGGCTATATATGTAGTTGTGAAAAAGGCAAGACCTAGCAAACATTTTGAGGTCATGCAGCATGAACCACAACGAAGTCATTTGTGGTGAACGCAAAGACCAACCAAAATCCAACGGGAGAGGTGGCGCGTTTTCCCGGAGGTTTTGCAGTTGATTGTGTGCAAAGCAAAAGGACACCAATGATCCTGAGCGAGCAATTCGATGAAACATACACAGTTTTCAAGAACAAGGCGCTATTTGCACACAACGCATGGTACAGCCACCAACCCGGAATGCATAAGAAAGTTCACAAGACCAACACACCAACAAACAAACGGAATCGCACACTGTTTGCATCCCCTTGGGCGTTGGAATCCTTTGGTCTCGCCATGACATTGGATGGGCCGGCGAAAGGGAAGCTGCGCACAGGTTGGAACTGGGCTGGGGGCAGTTGGTCTGTGTTTGCATTTCTGATTCATTTTCCCAAGTTTGGGTTTTGACAATGTTTGTTGATCTTACACAATGCACTCAAAATAATTTCGAGACAGTTGATTCAGAGGCGAGCACCGCAGATTTAAGCATTTCTTAGTAGTCACTAAAGCTATCGTCAGCTGATGTCAGCTGGCTGGAGTTACTCTCGTTTTAGCAAGTCATTCGCTAGGGGGATGGATTGACCTACCCAGTGAAAAATTCATGTGTAGACCCCTCCCGCCGAGTTTAACTCCCCTCCCCCACGTTTGACCAAGGCATTGGAGAGGACCATCCATTTGACTGTAGCCCCCCCGTGGGTTCAATTGCCCCCTCTGATTTGATTCAGGAGTAAGTCAATGCATGGAAACCTGATACCTTCCATCACAAACACAGAGACCAGCGCTCTCCGATACCTCTCGCCACATCCCGTTTCCAAGCCATGCTAGCTTTTGTCGCCAACCCCCGACCGAAAGTTCTGTACTTGCTGACGAGGCCAACGTGTGGTGCTCCAGGGTCTCTCCACCAGTGAACTCAATGGGCATCGCGGGATCATCGTCCGTTGGCGACAGGCATCGCGGAAGAAATGGGCAGTGTGCTGAAAGATGGTGATGACAGGGTGCATGCACCATCCCATTTGATTGAAATTGATTTGTTTCTATCCGTATGTTTGATTCTGGGAAGCGATCAATTTTGTTGCATATAGTTTTCTATATACATCAAATGACGCAAATGCGCATTTAACGAACTTGCATTGTTCCAATTGTTTCGGTGTTTGCCCTTGAAACTGACAATTGCATCAATGATGTTGCGAATGTGTTTTCCGTCTCCAACCTATGGGTATACAGTGGTCCATGTCGCCCAGGACTGCGGGCGCTATGCCGTGCGTGTGGCGGGGAAGGCTCGGTTGGGGATGACGGCTCGGCTTGATGAGCGCATTCTGCGGTGAAGAAAATGAACAAAAACAATCGTCATGTGAGTTTCAGGTCAGACACACTTTCAGGTTTTGGGGGCTCAGCTGTATCAGTAGAACGAGTACATTTGAACAATTTGTTCTATACTGTTTGCATCGCAGACAAAAGTGCTCACACCAGGTGCTTCGCCGCAAAGCTAGGGAGGAAAATAGGCTCCCCCCTCATCCATCAGATGAAAAACCGCCATCGCTGTCATCCTCAGTCGGCTGAGCCGGTTCTTTCCGCGTGTCGGTCCGCTCCACTGTCCTCCCGTCCGAAGCAACCAAGTCACTGTCCTGTTTTGGCTCAGTTTCAAGTCCTCCCCACTTGTGGGGCATATAGAATGCCATCTTTCAGCTTGAAAAAGGTGTAGGCCCCTACTAGTGAATCTGTCACACACAGTTTGTCCATGACCTTACTTCTTTCATAATTAATGTATTTGGGGTCACAAAAATGTCGAACCGCAGAATCCATTGGGCTGGAATTCACCCTGTACCCCTGTGCTCTTTCCCGTTCGACGAAGGAGCTGGGTCTCAAGCCGGAGAACCTGACCCCCGAGGGCGGTGCAGCAGTGGCCCAGCAGCTTGCGAAGAAACTGAGCCATAAGGCGTGGTGGCGCGACCATGCGTGACCTTTAGGATCTCAACATGCATGAAAAATACCTGAACAAAAAATATTGATCTTGCGAAATGGGCGTTGCTGATTTGCTTTTGAGGTTCCTTGCTCGCTTCCTGATTTCCTTGGTTTCTCGGGCCGGCCTGCTGTACTCAGGCTGTTTGGTTTCTTCAGTTTGCTTGAGTTTCCTTGCTTTCCTCCATGCTATGGCCTTCTCATGCCATCTCAATCCTCGGGCTTGGTGGTGCTCAATTTCCAAGTTTCTTTGGCCCATTGATGTATTTGGTTTCCTTGCATGGTTTCCGGGTAGGCTGGTTCACTTTCTGTGGATCGCATTGTATCACGGTTTGAAAAAATATGAGCGCGCCAGATCCCATGGCTCACACCGCCAGACACCGACCTAACCCCCCAACCATGTTTAGAGTTTGTGTGTTAATTGTGAGTTGATGTTTTTCTTCTTGGACTGGTGTGCTCCCAACGCATAAGTCGAGTGCCATGAAGGGTGATATGACAAAGGTGTCTCACCATCTAGGAACACCAGAGAATGTGATTTGAGTCGATGAGAAGGTGGGCACTGTTCAGCTGCACGCCAAGGCCAGCTTGAACCCAAACATGGAACATCCATTGTTTGATGTGAAAACCGAACCAAGGATGACATGGCACACACACAGCGTGGCTGCCTTGTAGCGGGATTGGTCCGATGGTTCCAACGCTGTGCGTTGCGGGTCGCTGTAAATCACTGTATATAACACCCAGCACCTGCACTAACCTGCAGCTGACCAACAGAGATCGTGGCGGGGGAAGACTGCGATGTGCGAAGATAGCTTCCATTCACGAGCAGCCGAATGTGAAGTAGGTTTTGGTGACCTAGCGGCTCAGCCATCAACAGAGCTTTCAACGTGCCACGACAACTCTGCAGGTAGGGGAAGGTTCCATGATCAATCCTGCTGCTTGGCTGAAGGACGAAGGACCAAAGCCGTTACCGGCAGTATTAGATTTAGATCTCGTTGGGTCATGGTGATTTTTCCTGAAAAGAAGGCCAATGAGAAGACAAAGGTTGAGAAAAGGTGAGAAAGGGATTTCAGCAAATGCACACAACATATACAACAAATTGGGTTCTTCGCAATGATTCAAGTTGTTCACGCGCACACACTGTTCGATCACATATCTGGAAGATCTTCGGGTGATTGAACCTTTAGGGGTCCATTTTGTTAACATGTTGTTTGTGTTTTCCAGTGCGATCAGTCAATGGTTCGAAGACCCGTGATGACTCTGCAATAATCCGGTCCACAATTTCAGCTGAAAGGCTTTGTCAATTTGTGCAAATCCAGTCTGGGTTCAATGATCAGGTCATGATGTTGTCAATAGTACCGCACTGATACTGTCAGTTCTTTGGGTGGTAGATCTACATTTTGTTTTTTGGATCAAAGACGTAGTTGCAGGCATCCAGGTTTGTCGCACCTCAGTCAAGGGCTTCGTCAGAAACTACCTTGAGAGTCCTAACTTTGATTGTTGGTCTTATGATACTTATGTTCAAACGTGTGTTTGGGGTGTCTTTAGGCAAGCCATTTATTTGTTCATGATGCGTGTGCTGTTTGTAGTATTTCCATGGAGATGTTGGAAAGGGCCAAATTTGACACGTGTGTCTCTGGTTTGTTAAATACGCACTCGGTCATTCCGTTTGCAAAAATAACATTATATATATAACCCGCCCTCAGCCCTTGTCCTTGTTGATTTTGTTGATGTTGCATTTTGCTCAAAATACGTTACATTCCGCTGCAGTAGTGCAAGTTGGCAGCAGGGAAAGATTGCAGGACAACTCCCCTCAAATCTGTCAGAAAAAACAGTTTCACCTTCGGCTCTATGCTGTATGTGGGGTGTTTTGAGTAACTCCTTCAACCTTGTGTCAAGTGCAACCCCCTGAGCGGTGTGAAGCGGGTTGTGTGCTTGTGGTTCAAGGCCCATACCTCAAATAGACTCTTCAGAAATGACAAAGAAGTCTTTGTGGATAATCCGAGGCGAAACTTTGTATTCGCTACTCCCCTTTCCAAAGCCTGGCCACTCCTTTCACTCAGGAAGCCTATGCACGGGTGCCGGGCGCTGGTCCCAAGATGACCCAGTGGGTGGGCCAGGCGAATCGGCCAAACGGATCGATCGATCTTTTGCGGAAGAAGGTGGGGCATGGTGAGGCTCCAACCAACAAAATCGATGAATCTCCAGTGAACCTGAGCTGCTGTGTATATCCATCCACTGGATATCTTTGTATATCCAGCTCAAACTGCATCCATTTCTCCGGACGCTGGCAGGTGAAAGCAGGTCGCCGAGTTTGGGATGCCCAGTGTTGCGGGAGGGGTGCGGTCTTGTGTGAGCGGATTTGTGTTTGCACGAAGAAAGGCCATCAAAAGTCATCAAAAGCCGGTCACGTTTTCGCCTCGTTTTCCGTTTGGGATCTGGGATCCTCGTTGTACCTGTGCCGCACAGCGCGTGGGTGTCACAGGCATCCTGCATCCAGACATGTTCTATGTGAACTTAGCACACATTGCCATCATCCTTGGCGTGCATATATTTCTATCGGGCCTATCCATATCGAAGCGATGCATCGCCCTTTGTTTGATGAAGACTCCAAACAGACCACAGCATGACACCAACCCCAAAAGAAGCATATTTTTGGCGACTAGTGCCCCCTCCAATACAGTTTGGCGCTCGAGATCGAACGACTTGGACCATTCGGTAGACTGATGGCTTGGACCAAAGGGTCACAGCGATCAGAGGATGTTCATCCTTGAAAGAACTCAGTGGCCAGATGTCTGAAACTGCAGCGTGTTTGCCAACATGAACTCAACTCATCAAACACTGGAGATCGACGATCGATGTGAACTCATCCAAAAACCGCTTCAAAGGTGGTGGTCCGAGCGGATGTGGAGGCCGATGCTGAGGCAGCCGCGACAGTGTTGTTGGAACGGCACCCCGGTAGGGACCCACCGACAAGTCATTCATCGATGTGTCGGTCACATCGGTACTCTGCAACTGGGAAGTTCGTCAAGCGAACGTTTTCGGTAAGAGGAATCCAAGTTGATACAGTAAGTGTTCTGACGAAACTGTTCGCAAATAACGGTATAGCTTCATTGTGAACAATGAATTCTGAGCGCTCCTCGTGTTGAAGCGGATGAGCACAGCCATTTATATAATATTGACATTATCTCAACAATAGGCTTTGAGTCAATCCTTCGGCAAGGCAAACTGCTGTAAAAACACGCTTACAAATCCATGGTGTTGAGTCCAATAAGACACGCATGAAGCTCTAAAATTGTGAGTAAAGTGACTAACTGCATGTAGCTGTAAATGTTGTTTCATGTTGTTTCCATGGATCACAAGAAGGAAGAAGCTACTATGGGCTCCTGGCCTTACTACCAGGAGCAAGGACGCTACTAGGGGCTCCTAGGAGCATTCTTACCAAAACACAAGCGCCACAAGGCAGTGCCACTGTGGTTCGGCGACCTGGGTTTCGTCCAAAGCGCTCCGGTGGACGTAGCGTTGCTGCTGGAGGACGTGGCTTGGCGCTTCTTGCGGCATGTGCCGTTGATCTCGTCAGTCGTGGGTTGTCCAAGTGGACTAAGGAGTGCTAATCCATTTTTGATGGGAGCTTTGATGACCAAAATGAACAGAATGCACGATGATCATCTTCTCAGAGGCTCCAAGCCGAGACTGCCGAAAGGTACGGGGGCAACCTCTAGAAATCTCATTCTAGAGAGGACACTGGATTTTTCAGAGACGTTCTGTTTGATTGTGCCAGGTGCAAATAACATAACATACCCGGTTCATTTTTCTTCAAAAGGCTTGAACCTTTTTCAGACAGTTTGATCGGATCGCTCTTGCTATTTGATAAAACACATTGAACATGGTATATAATGATGTACAAAGTACCATACCCAATAAACCTACTTGAACAAGACAACACATTGAATCTCCCTGAACATGCCTTCCTTCTGCTCCGCTGGGCTGCTCCGCTTTCGGCTGGTCCGCAGAGATCTGAGGTGGGTGACGTGGAGCAGTGGCCCAAAGCGCTGGAACGTTGTTTGAAGAGATTCCCCACGGCCGCAGGGCGCTTGAGACAGGTCAAGAAGGACCGCCTGGCTCCGGTGTGGCCGTCGCGCAGGTTGGCCGCGGAGGGTTTGGGATGGAAGAGGTTGTGAGGGCAGGTTAGTTAGTTACATCCCTGTTCTTCTCATGTGGCTTCGGACTTTCATCACAAAGTTCCTTTGATGTTTTTTTTTGAATTTGCACTTGATGTTGTTGAACTCGTCACCCCAGCTTGGTGCCATTCTTGGTCAAACAGTCAAACAATTATTTGTTCGGATCCTTGGATGTTGAACTGTTCGATGTCGGTCGACGTCGACAGCCGGTGCTTCTGTTTTTTTGTGGGAGTAGGCTGGCGACCTGAAACCAACAACAGGTGAGCGACGGCAGATGCCATAGGTTTTGAGAGCCGCTCGGGTCTTCACTTCAATGAATCCCTGGCAGTTCGATGCTGCTTTTCCGCTTTGGCAGGACGGACAGCTGCCGGGAAACCATGGAGATTCGGGTGTTTTCCAAGGAAGCGAGGAATCAACTGGAAATGATGACACTGGTGTTCTCTATGTAGAAGTGGGTCACGCTAGGCACCCAAATAGAGATCCAATAAAGAATACCTTGAATACCACAATCGACCGCTTCGAGGACAAACTTTCTGCTATGTTCTGCATGTTTTTGTAATTTAGAGCGCCGCACCCACAAAGTCAATGGTCAACTGTCTTCTGGTTTTGGTCGTTTCAGGCCACGGTGGATCGGGCGTGTTCGATCGGGCGTTCCTTCGCCAAAGTTCACACCAACCATTCCCTGAGATATGTTGAACGATTGAGTACTTAGCGTAACTTTCAGGGTATTGTAGGAGAAGAACACCAACAGTAACCTCTGGTCCTCATCCAAAGCGGGGTTCCATACTAAAGTCCTCCTATGACCATCATAATATATTGGGCAACCAAGGATGTATATCCATCCTACCATGGGGAGCTCCATGCCCAGCTCAGATATTTCTTGCTGCAGCAACCAACCATTTAGGTCTTGTTACAAACCACAGGATGGGATTGGAGAGTTAAGGACGAATTCCAGGCAGTTCCGCCAGCAGAAACCAAAACTCTTGTAGAATTCAAGCTAGGTCTGTTACTAAGACATACATGCGATGAGTTCGTCACTCTAATGAGTGGTATGACTCGGAAACATGCTGAACATGTGGTCGTATCCCTCACTCATCCAGATCACCCAGCCCTGGCGATGGGTTACGCGCGTGTATGAGTTTGTGCGCCTTTGGGACCATCCTAATAGGAGGGAAACACACATCCGGCATCCGGGGAGAACCCTCACGTGGCTGCACCGGAGATCCTCCTGAGGTCGTGGAAGATCTTCCTGAACAATGCGGGCGTCCCCTTCACCGCTGCTTCGGTGCCGCCATGTGGGCTTCCCACACCTGAGGTGCCAGCGGGCGCAAGCGGGAGCCGCCAGGGTGCAAAGCTTGAAGGTGAGGAAAGCACGGCATGGAAGTCAAACATTGAAGATATCACAAGAGAAATGATAAATGATACACATAGACGGGTGTTGGGGAATGTACTCCTTTACACTCCATGAGTGTGCTCTATCTTAGTTCCATTGCAACTGTTTGGAGGCACTAGAGCTGAAAGAATGTTTTGACTAATGCGTTCTTGGCTAAAGAAGTGCGGTTTGCTGTTGGCATCCACACTTGCTGAGTGAGGCTAGCGTGGGTATGGGGTTGAAACACCCCAAAGTTCTGAACGCCCCTTCGGTAGTCGACTCCGTTTCATGTTCCAAGTCTGGACCTTGTAGGAGCCCCAGGGTCCGGGAATCGTGGATGTCAGACGCGGCCTACTGATGCGATGTTTTCGGCATCCACCGGTGCACATGGATTGCTTGACCGTTGGGGCCCGTTGGGGGTGGACAAAACCTGGCTTGAGACAGTCTCGACGCATCCTCGGTCCAACATGTTACACTCGGCCTCTCAGAGGAGCTCCGATGTTATTCATTCCAAATCGAATCATATTCCTCTCATGTCACTGCAGGAGATCTTGCAGATCTTACTCTCATTCACCACAGGTTTTGGAAGCTTTTCTCGTTTGTTTTGCGTTTGATTTGGACATCCAGCAGCGTAACAACTGCCGTGCATGGGGACATTATACTTGTCGTTTTCTTCAAGGCGGCATCATCGAACGCTGCTCCGGCGGAGGTTTTGCAGCTTGCCTGCCAAGACGACCAGTGCGGCTTCTTTGACACCGGACTTGCGGAGAATGGTTGGGAGTCCCAGAATGATCTGAGGGCCAGATTGCCAATCACTCGCAATCACAAAGTGGCAGTTGACACGTTTCAACTGCATAAATAAGTGGATTACATGTTTGCTTGCTTTAGTTGCAACTTGCAAGTGCAGTCACTAGGCTGGACGCTTTGCTCAACTCTACCACGGGTTGGTGCACAGCAAGAGCCACGTTGATGAACGTTCGATGAGCCATAAGCCATTCTGTGCAAGTCTCATGGGAGATATCCCCAATGGGATATACTCAACGTATCGTCAGACCAGCTTGGATTTTTGGATGTCCAGGGCATATAAGGGGTCTCAGGAAAGAGCATGAGAGCAAAAACATGAGGCTGTTAAGCTCCGAATTTCGGGAACGACTTCGGTGTTCGGACAGGTGTTTGGCCACACACAATTTGGGGAGTGCCCAAAGTGCCTGGCACTTTGGGATTGAACCCGTAAAAGTCTTCTTCCAGTTTGGACTCCGTGCCCTGATTGACTCCAACCGTCCGTGATTGCGAAGGTGAGGAAGATCCATTGCTGCGCTTGAAGCTCATTCATGAAGAGGGCACGGCTAAAGGCCGGCAGACAGCGAAGTGATCAATTAAGGTGTTGGTTTGTATTTTTGGTATGGACACCCTTTGGCCCAATTGTTTCTGTATTTTTTCTTTCTTCCCACAGCTCTGAGGGGGGTCAAAGTTTGTCAAGACACACCCATGTGGTTTTCAAGCACAAAACAGGTAGAGGATTTAGGTACAAAGGGCCATACGATGCACTCACTCATGCAAAAAAACGATTCCACATTTGTTGAGAGGATGTTTGCAATTGGTCAGTTCAGAAAACAACACGGAGTGCGACTGGGTGATCACTTGTTGAGACTTCACGGCATCTGGTGAGACTTCACGGTGAGACTTCACCAGGAGGAGCCTGAATTGCTCTCCAGGGATCTCCAGGGTGTGGCCGCGAAGTTCTCAGACCATACCCTTTGGATCCCTTTTGGATGTCCTCAGCGCAAAGTGCGCGCGAGTGTGGAGCGGTTCCGGACCGGATCCCAAAGGCCACGCACCGACGAAGAATCGGAGTCGTGCTCAAAGCGGGAAGGACGGTCTGCACATCAGATCCTTCTTCAGAGGTGGAAGTGAACAGGAATGGAGTTCCTCCTCCAACATACGAAGGACAGTCACAAGGAAAGGAAGGACCATCTTACTGCTTCACACTTGCCCTCGTGATGGAGTAGCTGGCTGCAACTAGACCCAGGATCTACATGCAGATCATTTGATATGATTAACATGGCCATGACCCAATATCGATATATGATATACATGTTAATCTGATTAACAGACATTGGATCATGGCGTTCGAAACCACATCGCAGCTGAAATCCGTCCCCAGGATCGAACTGTTGTGGTATCCGGTATCCACGACTTTTGTTTTCTCCTACACGAGTGACGTGTGAAGGTGAAATCCTAGAAGTCGTAGGTCACAATTGGAGGGTTTTTCAACAAATCCTTGAGGTTCAGTCAAGTTTAGTGAAGTCCGCAGGCTGACATAGGGGCAGACTGGCCAAGAACCACAATATCCCAAAACGAGCAAGATTCTGTAAGTTCTTCATAGATCCCCTATGTCCATCCCCGATTCACTATAGAGTTTGCCAGCAACGTGGTTTTCTCACCTGCGATGAGTTACCACGAGGCTTGTGGTGAACAAATCACCATTCCATTCTCATCCTCTTTCAATCATGACCCATCATGACTAATATATAGTATTTGCTTACTGATATACAAGGGTAATTAGATGGAAGCAAAAGCTATTGCTTATCCTTTCCCGACTCCCCTGCCTTGCTTGAATACATGTCCACTGTCCCAGCACATACCATGAACCTGAGATGGGCTCAACATGGCTCAACCTTGTTTCCAGTGGCCAAGAGAGACCTTTGTCGTGAGGCATTACCAACGTGCTCAGTCAGAGAGATCCTCAAGTCAGATGTGTGTGTGTGTGTGTAACCCTTGGAGTCATAGGGCTTCTTTTGAAGTTTGCT